GTGTTGATCGGTGCAAAATGACAATTATGCCCTCAAAACATCTCAATTCTTGAATTCCTCCTGCACTAAGAACCAGTTGAGGCCCTCCCGGATTGCAAATGCTCTGTATCCCAAGAAAACATCACGTAACTGAATATTTATGGAAAGAAAATATATCACAAGGGTTCAATCAGGTTATGAAATGACAACCTCCAACATTTTGTTAGCCAAAACAACGATTCAAATGGATATCTTTGGCTCGGAAACACAAAAGTACTGTACGTACTTTTTTGAAAAGGTTAGGCTCGGAGAAAAAAGATGGTCAACCTTTTTCAGTAAAGACCATAGCAAAAAACAAGCACATGCATACGATGCAAATGTTTCGAAACCTTTTCCAACAAACGTTTCTGAATAAATAATAATATATTGCAATCTTTGGTTCAACTCTTGAAGCAATCTTTGGCAAAAAAAACATATTAGCAATGACTAAAACAGAGTATATTATCTTAGGGTGTAACATTTGATGTATGATTACCTGCAAGCAAGATCTATGGATTCCCTGTCTAATAGACCGACTGGACAGCCTCCATGATCACCATCACTCACAATGACAGGTAGTTGGTTTACGCCATGTCTATTCATCAGTGTTCGAGCAGTTAAGAGGCTCATGTTTGGGGTTGCTGTCCATGCCACGGAACATCTTTTCCCAATAGAGGAACACAGTTCGGATACTCCAAGTACCTGCAGTCAGAGATTTCTAGCAGCCTGTCATTTGGAGAATATCACAACACATACATGGGAAAATGATTCAAAAAAATCGTGCTAAAATGCGTTCATCCAACAGGGGAAGTATCATTTTAATCACTTTAACTAAATCCAAAGTGTTAAAACACAATACACTAAAATGCATATAACAAAAAGTTACCTGATGATGTTTCCTGTTTGTTTTACCTCTCGACAGTTCAATGAACTGCTGAATGTCACCAAGTGCCAGCTGGCCCAAGAGCCGATTGTTCTCGTCAACAATCACAGCACATGATTGCTTCTCCTCCAGCATGTGGGCTACCATTTCGGTCAGGGAAGTGTTCATCCGCACTGTGATATATTTTGTTCTCATTGCCTGTGAAACCGTGATTTCATTCACTAACAAGTTGTTGGCATCATCATCCGAATCTTCATTCAGACACAGCGAACTCTCAAGCTCGCAAATGCCACTTCTGTTTCGCTCGTTAAAGGTTGATTTGAAGCTTGAGTCATTATCATTAGGATATCTTTCCTGCGTGGCTACAGCTTCATTCTTTTCTTTCGGGCTTAGGCTGGTGCCTGTGGGGGCCCCTTTTCTAGTCTGATCGGACGTTATCCACGAAGAGAGTCCCACGGCCCCCAGAAGCGGCAGTACAATTCGGTAATCTTGTGTTAGTTCGAACAGAAGCAAAACGGATGTGAGGGGCACCTGGCACACCCCTGCTAGAGTAGCAGCCATTCCAACCTGTGTGTTAAAACAACTTAAATGAGGTAAAGCATTGTTTTACAGCACAAATCCAAGTTGCGGCCTGGGAAATGATTCGGCTGAGTTTTTCCTAAATATTTTTAGTTTCTGCGATCTAATAATTATTCATTGATATTTATATAACGACTATTTATGACCAGGGGGCAGTAATAGTAAAACCTTGAATTAGTTAAGAAAATAAATATGTTGTATGTATGATTTCTTTCATTCATACAAATTTTTGGGGGACACAATGCCAATCTAGAAACAAATATATGAAACTTCAATACCGAGCAAAAGCAAAAGTTACCAGGCCATATGCTTGAGGGGAAGCAACTTCCAGAATTGACAGATGAAAGACTGGGTTGGATATGGCAACCAAATAACCGACAATTTTGCCATATGCCATTCCTGTAGCTGCACCGATGAACAAAGATGGGGCGTAGTAACCACCCACTAAACCAGAAGCTCTGCATAAGGAAGTGGTCACTATTTTGACAGCCACCAGTTGAACCAACAGACCAGCTGAAAGACTATTGGCAAATAGTCGGGATTCCAACAAAGTATCAACATTCTGAAATCCCCAGTAAAGAATCTCGGGATATGCTAAGGCTATAATCCCAACTGTCAAACCACCAAATATGGGGAGTACTGCTTTTGGTATCCCAGTGTTTCTTTGGACACCATTGAAGAAGGCCAACATAAAAGATGTAGAGTTGGATAAGCCAAGTGAAACCAATCCACAAATTGTGCCCAGCAAAAGATAGAGTGGCAGTTCTGAACTGACAAAAACAGAGATCAAAGGTAAAAGAATCTAAATTTCAGAATAACCATAGTCAAACTTAGCAAGGATATAGATACTGATAGATAGGTAAGTAAAAATCACATTTGGTACTGGATAACCGCAGGATCAGATAGACTATAACACATATGCATACAATTTGAACTAACCACTGTCACGAATTGCAATATATAGAAAATCTATAAAAGTTTCCAAATTTAATTAAGTTAACGATTTCAGTATTTAGTGGAGAAAAACTGCTATCCATATAGGACGTGCTGACAAGCATAGGGTGGATCTCCGAAGAATAGCATGTAATGTTGTCAATGCTAATACCTATACCGAATATATTTTTGCTTGATATTAGAAAATGTGAAATAATCCACTTCGCTAGCCATATAATCATTTAATCCGGATAAATCCTGCTTCACTTACAACAGTAGTCCACATATACTATTACGATTATCTAAGCTGAGAATAATTACAATTAAAAAAACCCCCTATCCAGTGTATGCTTTGAGAGGTGATAATAGTAACATGGGAAAACTAGCTCAATTTTAAACATTACCACCCGGAGAACGAAAATCATAGATGGGAACAGCGAAAGCGGGTTCAGAGCCAAGACCAATTTCTGATATGACCGAAGCTATTACAGCACTCAGAATGACCATTGAAGTTGGATTCGTCAAGGACAATGAAGACTCTGCAGGTGACGGCCACAGAACAGACTCCACCGCAAAAAAACACCCACCAACCGCGGCATTGAATCCTTTCAGAACGAAAACAACAAATAATTCAATAGAAACCTAACATAAACGGCTGGAAGAAAAACTTCCCAACCTTAAAATTGCACCATCATACACAAGCTATTATGAATAATGGAAACTGAGATATCCACCCTGACAAGCAAATCAGATTATAGAAACAACCCACAAACCAGAAGAAATTCCAGCAGCAGACCCAGCAGCCCTGAGCGATAGCTTCCTTTGAGCTCTCTTATCCAAGAAACTGCCCACTCCTTTGGCCACAGAGACACCAATCTCGACACTTGGACCTTCCGGGCCTAAGGAGTTCCCTGTCCCCAAAGTGATGCAAGCAGCCAGAGTCTTCAGGACTGGTTTCAAAGCAGATTTGAAGCTGGACATGAAAGTACCATTCTCTACAGTAGTGGAAATCATGTTCAGCAAACTAACAATCAGACCTCCAAAAGCAGGAACAAATATTACGCGTCCCCATTTGGCTTTGATTGGCTCATCTCTCAACCACTCAGCACCTCGGCCCGGGATTCCATCCCAGCACAAATCACGAATCTCATGCACCTAATTAACAAAATATGAACTCATGAAATTGTTAATTTAGCATCTACTGGAAAAATTCAAATTAGTAAAATGAGGGGTTATGCTCATGTTACCGTGTAATTGAAAAGTACGACGGCAAGGCCGGTGAACAGGCCAACCAAACAAGCGGATAAAATGGCGGAATCGCCCAATTGCTGCAAAAACTGCGACGATTGTTGGTTTTCACCATCATCGTTACCTGGGACCGGGATAAATGGTTGATTTTCCTCCTGCCCAAGGTCATCCCCCTTGGCGCGGCAAAATCGGCGGCCGCCTTGAGCGTCGCGAACAAGACGAGAAAAATAAACACACCTGCGCGAATATGAGCGGGTCGATGGAAATATCACGGCGGTTTTGGTAGAAGGATAACAGGAAGATGGGTCGATGATTCTGTATCCATGGTGGCGAAGATGACGATGAACAGCATTGTGGGGTTTAGCGGCCGTGGCAGAAGCGACTGTGGTGGATATGTTGAGTCCAAAATGCATTGGCAACACAAGAAAATATGGGGTTTCGGTTATGGTGTCATATTAAAGCATACGGCGTCTGAGACTGCCGGCGAGCGAGCGGTGGCGGGGTAGTAGCAGTTTGCAGTTAGTTATTTCATTTATATATATACATATGAGTTGAGGCTATGGCTGCACGATGAAGCTCGACAGCTAAATGTTGTTTTGCGTCGTCGTCACTGAGAGAGAGAGGGAGAGAGAGAGGAGTTCGGGAAAATATTGGTGGTTCGTCATCTTTCTACCTTGTTCAACTTCGACCACATCTTCAGTTCATGGCTACAGCTCATTTGATTTTAATGAAGGATAGGATTAACACATTAATTAAACCATAGTCAGATGTTTGGTTATAGTGATCAGCCATCGGATTGGTCTAGTCTCAGGATTAACAGGATAGAATTGGCAGTGACAAACGGGCTGGGCGGGACCGTGCTAGTCCACAGTTTAAAAGGAGGCGGGCCAACATGGCCCACATTTTCGTGTGAGAGAGACTCTAGTCTGTGGTCCGCTCCGCTCACATTTAGGAGTGAGCAAAATCGAGCCGAAATCGAAAAATCGAATCGAACGGAACAATTTGATTTGGTTTGGTTTGGTTCGATTTTTGCTCAGGATTAACTGAATAGAATTGGCAGGGACAAACGGGCTGGGCGGGACCGTTCTAATCCACAGTTTAAAAGGAGGCGGGCCAACATGGCCCACATTTCCGTGTGAGAGAGACTCTAGTCTGTGGTCCGCTCCGCTCACAATTAGGAGTGAGCAAAATCGAGCCGAAATCGAAAAATCGAACCGAACGGAACAATTTGATTTGGTTTGGTTCAATTTTTCTTAATGTAAACATTTTGTTCAGTTTCGGTTTGGTTTTTTCCTACGTTGCGGTGTGGTTTATAATTTTTTATAAGTTCGGTTTTCGATTTCGTTCGATTCGGTGAAATTTTGCACTGAATTGCACCAAATTGAATAAAATATAAAGTACAACCGAGACGCCATGTAATTTATTCGAACATTTTTGCAGAGTCAAAAAGTCTTTACACGGTTGAGAGTAAATGATAGAAGTGAAAAGCACAGCTCTAACAACAGAGACGAGAGTAAACAAAATAAAAAAATAACACATAGCAACGATAAACAAAGTGAAATTTGGAAAAAAAACCAAGTACCTGTGTAACAAAATTTTTCATTGTAACATTTATACCAGAACAAAATAACCACACACGCACAGAAAAGTAAACGGGGAAAGGGAATGTGCAAATTCAACACCTCAAAAAACCTCATAGGAACCATAATCCTGGCACCATAGAGAAAAACTCCAACTAATTCTACACTTTACGAGCCAAAGTCCTCTGCTTGGTCGCATGCTGCACCACTTTCTCCTCCACAGGAAGCCCCTTTCGCCTCCTCACGGCATTAATGAGCTTCCTGGCAGTATTCTGTGGCACGCTCGACCCATCCCCAAACTCCTCAAGCTCGTCCTCCGTTTTGGGCACGAAAAATGGGTCCTCCGAAAGCATCTCCCAGTGGCTAAAAACAAGAAGCGCACTTGATGCCCCGGAAGTCCATCTTCTCAACTCGTCTGCAAATCCAAAGCTCTCAGCAACCGGTACATAAGCGTGCACAGTGAACAAAGATGACCCTTCCTGCATTTCTTCCTTCAGAACCCGGGCCCGCCTTCTCGAAAGAACTGCATACATGGGCCCCAGATACTCGGTGGGGGTATTCAGTTCACAGAAGTACATAGCCTCAACGAGCCTAGGTTTGTTCTGTAGCACGGCTGCCCTGCAAGCTTCCTTAACAGCTGTCATGACCTGCCCTGTGAAGACACCGTATGGCTCGGGCTGCTGGTGTTGTTGGGTCAGGGAATTATCGCTAGTTGACTGCTGGTCAATGGGGTACACGGAAGCCTCAATGAAAAAGGCCAGACCCCACATGGGCTCGTCGCACAACGGACCGGACGAGGTGGCCAGCTGGAATCCGGACAAAACACAGCTCTCCAAACTCTCGGCTTCTCTTAACAACATTTCATCATCTGGCGTTGATGATGATAATGATGATGAAGATGGTGATTCATCAGCATCTAGAAAGCCTAATTTATCGGAAACGTAAGGGAAGCCCTTCAGAAGAACCGAACCACCCTCCAGGCTCCTTTTTGTGTCTGGAGTGAAGAGAATGTTGGGACCCACCTGCTTTGGGCCCAATGCCCAAATCCTCTTGAAATTGTTTTTCCAAAATTTCTGGTATTTTTCAATGCGATGATCCCTCTCCACCTCAGTGTTCTCGGTGGAAAGGTATTCACTCTCTACAGCATCCATCATCCTTTTCCTGAGTGCCTCTATTGGATTCTCGTCTTCCACTATGGTACCCCTAGAGGTTTCCAGGCTTTTTAGAGCCTGTTTAGATTTGCCACCAATTATATCTCCTAGCAGTTCAGAACTCTCATCCAGCAGCTTAGCAAGAGCAACTGGAAGTTTCGCGACCTGCACACGGACCACACACCTGCCGTTCGGTGTTGTTTTCTCCACACATTCGGAGCTTCCACCGTTAAATAATTTCATATTCTCCAAAGGATGACTAGTCATCATCTCTCCCTCAATCGTCTCTTTATAGGAGACGAGCGGGGGCGAGACTTCAAGACTCACCTTCGCAAACCTCTCCTTTAAATCTTTCACGCATCTCTCCAAATGAACTTCACCCGCAGCAGCCAGAACATGCTCCCCTCTAGAGGAAAGAGAGACCTCGACAAAAGGGTCCGCACGGTTCAACAGACGTAAGCCATTCATGAGTGCGCCCATATCAGCAGGATCTGACGGCTCAATTGCGACCTTAAGTGTCGGGGAAACTTGAAAAACCATGTTCGAAAAAGGCCAACAATTTATCGTTGAAGAAAGTGTAGCAGTCTTCAGTATATGCTGCCCGAGCCCCCGTATGGCGACAATATTACCAGCACTTACAGAGGCAACTGGTTTTAAACCCTGACCCATCATTAGATACAATGACTGCACATCAGCTTCCTGGACATGCTTCTGCTTGGATTCATCCACCTTGAGCGGATCATACAGTGCTGAAAGCACGAAAACCCTCTGCCCTGCGAAGAGAGTCCCGCTGAAGACCCTCGCGAATGCAAGGAAGCACTCTTCTGAATCCCCATCATCCATAGAGTACTTGTTCACAATCTCCTCACGTGGAAGCATCTTCATGGGGACCGCAAACATTTTAGAGACGAACGCAACACACGGGTCGCCGGGACCCGATTCGCAAGCCTCTACAGATTTCCTTACCAGTTCTGCCTCACGAAGCACATCATCAGGATCACCACCATTATTGATACTCTCTCTTTTGGGAAGCAATCTAGATATTCGGAAAGACTGTGCGGCAGCAGGGTCGGGCATGCACTTGATGACCATGGACAAGATAGTATCAGATAATGGGAGCCAACGGCTCATAACGGCTTGAAGTGCGGCCTTAGGGTCTTTATTCTGAAGTTCATGTGAAGGTATGGATAGATGAAAATTTTTTATAACCTTTTCAAGAATTCCCCTATCAGCATCGGCTTCCAGAACAACCTGATAAACATACCACAGGGGCTCCAGAATACGCTCCACAAACATGGGCTTAGGATTTGATGTGCTGCTTATACCTTTCTTCCGCACAATCTTCTTAGTCTTGGCATTGTAGTACCAAGGTCCCCATAATGACTTCTGTAAAACGTCCAAGCTCTGCCCATACTTAGTAGCATAAAACTCAGCAAAATCGTGAACACGGAATCCCCACCCATCCAGAGCACAAACGAAGACCACATTTCCTTTCTGTGGTTGAAAAGCATCCTCCTCATCATCCTCAACAGACTCGTAATTCACCTCATCACCGGATGGGGCAACCGAAAGCAAGGAATCAACATCAGACAAGTACTTCTCAGACTTAAATGTACTAACTATTCCGTTGACCTCATGGACGATCCTCAGCAACCTGTTATAGGCTTCCATGGGACTCAATCTCAACTCACATATCAGCCGGTCGACCTTATTCAAAACCAAACACGGGGTTAGTTTCTCGATCCAGGCCTGGCGCAACACGGCATGCGTCTGAATATGAACACCCTCAACGGCATCCACCAACACCAACGCACCATCACTCAACCGGGCAGCGGTTGAGACCTCACTACAGAAATCCATGTGGCCCGGGGAATCTATTAAATTGATGAAATGGTCTTTGAACTGGAGAGCAATGGATGAGCTCTTCATGGTGATAGCACGCCTCTGTTCCTCGTCCAAGTAGTCCATGAATCTGAGTTTGCCTGCTTGCTTTGGGTGAAGGACACCCCCACCATAAGAGGCAATCAGATGGTCAGCAAGAGTGGTCTTTCCGTGATCAACATGTGCGAGAATGCATATATTACGGACTTGTTTGGGGTCATTTTTTCCGCCCGTCCTAGTCGTCTCTTTGAAGGACTGAGAACAGGAAAGTAGAAAACGAGAACATGTTAGCATGACATCATTTGGGAATTTGACCGGGAAGTTCTGATGTCAAGAAAATTATGTAAAACGACTTGGTGAGTCTTTGTGAATCAAAAAATGAGGATACTTTAGCTTTCTAATGGCAATAAGAAATACTATAACTTGATCGAGAGACATAGACATAAATTTACCATATTCTTGCAGCAATTTACGGGCCGAACAAAATTGAAACAAATAATTTGGCAGCAAATAAAGAACAGTGAATTGCACAGCTCTGCTGTATTACCTGTTTATCTTGAATCTCAGATATGTCTTTCGACAGTGTATTCTCAGCCATCCACTCTCCGCAAAGATGCTTCAAAGCTGCAAAGATTTACACGAAAAATCGAGAAATTTCGAAAAGAACTCGGAAAAAAGCTTTATTGTGTGTGAATGATAATGTGTTACGAATATTGTTCAAATATACTGTCGATATTGAACTTCAATGAAGAGGCTACAAGCTGATTTGTCTCCGGTGCTTTACAAATTTGGGAAGGTTGGTTGGGGATTGAGTATGAAACAAACCCTAATTTTGTGAATTTTTTGGTCTATTTTCGACTGCGTGTTTTTTCTATCCAAGCTCTCTCAACAGATGGTAAAAGCGTGTGGGCATATAAAGGAGCTTCGGTCTGAAGAGAATCCTGCTCTTTACAGACGGCCCGGGCCAACGAACCGCCGGTTTTTTAGACAAAAATAAAAAAAACAACTATGACCATTGGGGAAAATCAGAATCGGCCCGGCCTGGCAAATTAAAAATGAATAAAAGACGATCCTTAAGCGACTGGACCCGTTTCGAGCCGGTTCGGCGGGCTGGGTTGGCCCGTGGCCACCTCTACGCTCACATCTTTCATGTCGCGCATTTATATTAACTTAAAAATTAATGGAAAATAAAAGAAATTTGTTAATTGGTGCCCAAGTATAAACTAATTTACATTCTTGGTAGTTCATGAACTTCATATTATTATAACTTAATATATTTCGATGCTAACATTTGATCCGTTAATAATTTCGATGCAAATTGTTAATTTTTTTTTTCTTTATTTGATAGGAACCATTACAATTAACTAGTTTTCATTTGAAAATATTAGGGTAAATAATTATTTGCAACATGTGCTAATCACGTTTTTTACGATTGCAACCTAAAGTTTTTTTTTTTTTTAAATTGCAACCTGTAATACACGTTATGTCTGTATCGCAACCTAACGGCCATCGGAGTCCATATATCACCGGAAAAACGTGTGTGCGACTCGCACGCTACAACCTTGAGGGTAAAATTGACATTTCAAGTATGTGGCTGTTCGGATCCCACAGAGTAAAATGCACATTAATTTCCAAAGTTAAACACAAATCCCCAATTCAAATCTCAAAAAAACCTAGGGTTCTTGCTCTGCAATTTTGAATCCCGACATCCAATCTCAAACTTTTCTTCGAATTAAACATAGCAATTGTGAATCAAACCTGATCGCGATCTTGATGGGCTGGAAGGTACGCGACGATAATGAGAATCTTCCACCTGGAAGACTGTGCCCCGATTACGGTTTGTTTTTTGGAACCCTAACTTTTTTTTTTTATTTTTCATGTCGAATTTGACGCAATATTTTTATATTGGTAGTATGTTTTTGTGATTATGTCTTCTCATTTCTCATGTGGAAACAAATTTTTTGAACTTGCCGACAGTCAATAGATTAAAATATGAAAATGTGAATTGTTGTCGGAAATGTGGTCCACGATATGTTAGTTTAGTATTTTTTTTATTTTTTTATTTGATATTGATTTGTGTAATATTCTTTTTCCTTCAGGTCCCAGTACACAATTGTTTACCATTTCATTTCATCATGGTGGGCAATTTCTGAAACTTGGTGGAAATTGTTACAGTGGTGAGCACATGAGGGTAAGTCACATTGACTATTGTGACCCTGATGAGCTCTCATTGATTGAAATCTTCTGTATGGCTTCTGAAATTAGGGTAAAAGATGTTAAGTGTGTGCATTGTAGTAGAAATGGTGTAAATGATTGCCGGTCTTTGTTTGTGTTGCAAAATGACATGGATGCTATAAATCTTGTTAATTGGGTTGATAGTAACAGAATGGTCGGTTTATACATTGAACATATAGAAAACATGGGCACAAGGATAACTAGTCAAGCTTTTGATGATTTGCCTTCTGTTGATGAATCGTTGCCTTTTGTGGGGGATGTTAGGGATGAGTTAGATGATATAATTGACAATTGGGGGGAAAAGAATGTTGATGATATGGGTGATGATTTGGAAGTCCAATCTGATAGTGACTCTGATAGTGATTTTGAACTCCAATCTTTTGGTTCAGACTCTGAGTTTTCTGATGAGCTTGTTGAGAGTGATTGTGATCTATGATGAAGATGATAGGATGTTTGAGTGTCATGTAGATGCTGATATTGAATGGGGAGGACTAAATAGAGATGAAACTGTTGGCCCTGAATATTTAGGTAGCCAGGGTAAGCAGATAAGTAAAAAGGGTCATCCAACTTTTGTTCATCAAAAAGACATGAAAAATCCTCAATTTGAATTGGGCATGACATTTCCTGACTTGGCTATGTTTAGAAGGCAGTTAGGAACTTTGCAATTGTACAGGGTAGGGATGTGTGTTTTAATTATAATTAATTTGAGCTATAATGTGCAAGCAAGATGCAAAAATAAGTCATGCCCTTGGGTCATTTAGAGCATGTTTGTTTATGAAACTTTTTGAGTTTGTTTGGATTTTTTGGTTTGGTTTGGTTAATTTTGAAAATGTGGTATTGTTAGTTGTTAGTGGATTTATTAAAATAATATTTAAAATAAAATGATTAAAATTAAAATGATGTAAAAGTAAGAGAGAGAATATGTGATGTGATGGTTAGTTAAAATTATGTGAGTAGATGAATAGTGAATTAAGGTTGATGTGGTGTGTATGAATGATTGATTGATATTATTTAATTATATTGATAATATTGATGATAGTGGTGTTGAGTTAAAATTGAGTTAAAAAAAGTGGTTGAGTTAAAGTGTTAAAAGTTTTTTAAAATTTTTTATAAACATACATACTCTTATGCATCCAAAATTCAAAATGAAGACACTGTGCAGGTTAAGACTTACAATGGTAGGCATAAGTGCCCTAGAAACCAAAAGGTAAGTCATGCTAACCCAAAATGGATAGCTGAAAATTACAAGCACAAGATTTTAGATAATCCTAAGTGGCCTGTGTGGCTATGATGGCGGAAATGCAAAGGGAAGTAGGGGTAGTTTTCAAAAGGTGGCACAATATGTGTCTAAGATTGGTGTGGGGTCTGACAGTGAGCAATATGCCATGCTTTGGTCTTATGCTGAAGAGATAAAAAAAAAAAAATCAATCCTGGGACCACTGTGGTAATTAAAAGTAAACTTGTTGATGATGAACCACTGTTTAAAAGAATCTATATTTGTTGGGTTTCATTGGAAAGATGGTTGCTGAATGGTTGTAGGAAGGTGATTTTCTTAGATTGTTGTCATCTTAAATCATCTTGTGGTGGTGTTCTACTTACTACAGTTGGTGTTGATGCAAACAAATGTATGTATCCTTTTGCCTATGCTGTTGTTGAAAAAGAAACTAAAAAAACTTGGCATTGATTTGTTGACCTGTTAAAAGGGGATTTGGGAACTGAGAATTCTTTTCTTTGGACAATAATGTCAGACAAGCAAAAAGGGCTGGTAGATGCCATTGAAAATCTATTGCCAGATTCTGAGCATAGGTTCTATGTCCAACACTTGTATAGAAATTTTAGGAATTAATTTAGGGGATTAGCCCTTAAAAACTTGTTGTGGAGAGCATAGGTTCTATGTCCACAAGGGTTGTTGACTTTAATGCTGCAATGAAAGAACTGCAAGGAAGAAACAAAGAAGCTTTTGAATGGTTAGCCAAGAAACCAGCAAATCAGTGGTCAAGGTCACACTATAGTTGCAACTCAAAGTGTGATATGTAGTTGAATAACATGAGTGAGTCTTTTAACTCACTAATTCTGAGAGCAAGGAGTAAATCTATTGTTTTTATGTTGGAAACAATAAGACTTATCTTGATGAAGAGGACCTACATGAGAAGGGATCAAATGAGAAAACATTTGCATGAGAATTTGTGCCCAAAAATCATGAAGCTGTTGGAGGAGTTGAAGAAAAAGTCAATGGGTTATATTTGCCACTGGAATGGGGAAGACCAGTTTGAAGTAGAGGGAAGTTCAAGTAGATTTAGAGTCCACATGGGGAGCATACCTGCAGTTGTAGGAAGTGGGACCTCACAGGCATCACTGTGAGCATGCAATAAGTGGCATGTTCTTGTTGGGCACTCAACCAGAGGATTATCTTGCTGACTGGTATAAGAAAGAAAAAGTTTTGAAGGCTTATTCAGAGATGTTGGGCACTCTTCAACTTCCTGAGTGTTGGCCAAGTGTAGAAGCATTGCCCTTGAAACCACCATCTGTTGAAAGACTGCCTGGAAGGCCAAAAGTCAATGCCAGAAAAAAGCAGCCCCATGAAGTGGTTCAGACAGGAAAATTCAAAAAACAAGTCCAAGTGAAGCTGAGTAGAAAAGTGAGACTTATGAAGTGTTCTGTTTGCAACAAAAATAGCCACAGCATTAGATGTTGCCCATTAAGAACTGACAAGAGTGCAACAACAGAGGTAGTTGTTAAATAATTGTAAATTTTTTGTTTCTATGTTTGTGTTTTATATATACAAATAGTAATTTCTGTAAATGTTGACTTGGATAGCTATATTTACCATTGTTTTTTTGTTTTATGAAGGGTAAAAAGAAAAAAGCAACTTTGAGAGGAAGTGAAGTCAGAGCCCCTAATGAGGATATCTCTGTGGTTAAGGTAATTTCACAACTAGTCATATTTAGTGTTTTTATAATCACAAATTGCATAGTTACATGTACATTTTTGTTTGTTTTCTGTGAAGGGGAAGAAGAGGAAAACACCTGAAAGAGAAAGTCAAGTAAATGCCCCTGATGAAGATTTTGTTGTGAGTGAAGTACATGTCTCTAATGAACAGATTGTTGTGGCAAAGGTAGTGTTTTTTGTTTGCTTTTTTAGTTAGGTATATAAATGTTGACTGGTAGCAAAATAAAGGTTGAGTACTGTTTATGAAGGGAAAGAAGATGAAAGCACTTGCACCTGTGATGGAAACTGAAGTTCTTCATACACAAGAATCAGTGGCAACAATACCTTCAAGGGTCATAAGAAGCCAAAGCCAACCTGCATCTACAAGCCTCACAAGAATTCAAGCACAACTTGTATCTTCACCAAGAAGGCAAA